GTGTGTGTGTGTGTGTGTGTGTGTGTGTGTGTGTGTGTAACCCCCCCACCACCACCACTTCCTTAGTGGGAAACACAGGTTTTATTCCAATAGAAAAGTATTGATAAGAGAACCATTAAAACACCAGATTGATGAACAGTACCAATAAGAGTAGTAGTATGGATAAAACCTTACACTACCCATCCTACACTGGCCCTGTGTTTGGTTTTGCAGGTTCACCGCTGCAGGCAGAGTATCTCCTTTAGTCTGCAGTGTGCCTGGCTGCTGGGAGCGTACTCCTCGGACATGCACATCTCCACTCAGCGCCACTCCAGAGGAACCAAACTCAGGAAACTCATCTTGTCAGATGAACTGAAACCTGCAGGGGCACGGACCCGCAGGGAGCCCCTGACTCTGACTCCTTTCTGCCCTGCGGCCTCCACCGGGCCTCTGAGAGCAGAACACAGCCTGTCACCATCCAAACGGACCCATCAGCGCTCCAAGTCGGATGCCACGGTCAGCATCAGCCTGAGCAGCAACTTGAAGAGGACAGCCAGCAACCCAAAGGTTGAGAGCAGCCAGGACGAGGTAAGATCTCCGTCGGACGCAGGTCTGCTTCATCCCAGCTGCACAAACCAAAACTAAAGTTTCACAGGACAAGAACAACAGAAACTACCTGGAACTTCATTTGAGCTTCAAGTTTAAGACCCAACTTTAACTCAGAGGAAACTATACTGAAAGCTGAGGTTCCTCTAAGGCCAAATCCTGTCTTATGTGCTTTATAACACAAACATCTAAAGTAAAAACCCCAGAATGCACTGGAACAACCAGTGCACGTGCCTTGTCTTCCTGAGTTATTATCCTCCTCTAGCTGTGGACTGAGTCTGTTCCTCTGTTTATCTGACCCTAGATTATGGTCTTCCTATCAGGATTTCAGTTCAGGTCAGAAAACAGCAAGTAAGACTGGACTTCAGGGACCGTCTACAGATTACATCATCAGCTCAAAATACAAATCGATGTTTAAGAAACAATTCTTCAGTTTATAATGTCCCTAAAAGCAAAAATAGATTCTAATGCCTTGAGGACATCCTGTCTGTCTCATGAGGACAGACAGGATGTCCGCCAGTAGGGTCCGTTTGTAGGGTCAGATCTGTAGGGTCCAGTTTGTAGGGTCCAGTTTGTAGGGTCAGATCTGTAGGGTCCAGTTTGTAGGGTCAGATTTGTTGGGTCAAATGTAAAGAACCCTGCTTTATGAGATTAATACCAGCTTAATCTCACAAAAGCATGTTCCACAAGATCTTGCAGAAATGAAATCAGAATT